ATTATTTTGCTTACCCCATTGGCAGATTATTTTGCTTGTTTTAAGGAAAAACTCACTTATTATTGGCATATTATTTCTCAAAAAAATATGTTTTTCTTGTCTAGAAAATTCTTCTTAATTTAGGAATTTTCAGATATTTGGACTAGAAACAAGACAAAAAATCTAAGTAAGAAAAGCATTTTTTGCAGTATGTGGGTTTGCTGGACAGTCTTTCACTGACAAGGATGTACATCAGAAGCCAGCTATGGAGAAAATAAAAGCTATAAACTCTCTCTCTCACACTATGTGGCTCATTTGACCTGCTGGCGTGTTTGTGAGGTAACGTTTTATCTCCTCTCTTGGCTGTTACAACAATAACAATACTTGTGGATTCAGACACGAGCATGTCTGCAGAGTGAGTATTCTCGACCCTGTCGCCGTCTACAATATAATGGAACAGCTGATCGCTGTGGCTGTTTAACATCGGTGACCGTGTCACTGTTTTGCTGAACAGTTCCAGAACCTGAAGTGAGTTTTTCCTCAAATCAAGAAAAATAATCTGCCAATGGGGTAAGCAGAATAATATTGTTTTTCGATTTGTGATAAGATTATTATTACCCCATTGGCAGATTATTTAGCTTGATTTAAGGAAAAATTCACTTCATTTTGGCATATTATTTCTTAAAACAAGACAATTCATTTTGCTTGTCTTGAATGCTTCTTGATTTAAGAACTTTTATATATTTGGACTAGAAACAAGACAAAAAATCTTAGTAAGAAAACCATTTTTTTGCAGTGTGCACCAGTAAATGCGTTGAGATGCAACTTACTTTATATGCAAGTGTATTTAAAAGGTAATCCCAGAATAAAGACGTTATTCTCTATGTGCAACCAACACTGTTGAAAGCAATGTAGTTTAATCAAAAAGCAAACTGAGCATGTGCACAGAAAAAACCATACCCACGTGCCTCACGCACCGCTTCTGCTTGAAGCTGACAAGCTGCTCTTCTCCCCGTCCCGGTTGTAAACATGCTCGCCGAAAAAATACAAGCGCCACTCATACAGTGTCTAACCGATGTAATAGCAGTCTTTTATGCGGAGGTGTCGGCACGCAGTGAGTTTTGCAAGTCGACAAAACAAAGTTTAAATATGTTGGTGATCTTATTTAGACTAAACATGGCTCCTGATAGATTTTTGTATGAAGCAAAAAAAGAAGGTATGATCAGTCAGGGAGGTAAGACTTGATAAACCCAATTCTCAGCCATGAGTTGTGTAAGAAAACACATACAGATAATTCTATAAAACCTTTTTTTTTTGTATTCTATAGACCAATTACCATGTTTGTAAACATTCAGGATGCGCGCGCAGGGAGGTGGCAGAAAGCAACTGGGAGCCCTAGCATTTACAGCGAGGGGATGACATCAGATGCGGTGCAGAGTTTGTTGTTGTCTTAGAAATAAGATATATTACTTACCTATTATATATATTGTTTACATAATGCTTTCAGCATATTATAACAGCTCGTCACCCAGTGACAAGCACAGTTATACAGCAAAATTAACGTTAAAGTGAGCGGCGTTCATCTGACAGCTCCATTTGCGATAGCACCCTCCCAATGAATATTGGATAAGACGAAATGACCAAGCATCCAGCCCCAAATATACAATCTCAATGAAGCTCCGAGTGAATTTACAAGAGAGAAGATAAAGGTCTACAAGTATTTGGATGCCAACAATGTTGTTCTTCGAGGT